TAATAAAATATATTATTATTACTATTTATAATTTTAAAAAATTGTTTTAAAAAAGTGCACATACCAGATACTCAAAATCAAGTTAATTTTTCAATTAAAATGATCACTTATCAAATTGTTGTATGATGAGGAAAAAAAATTAGAAAACATTTTGACTCACAAAACATTGTGACACACTTTCACTGGACAAACCTCCAGCCAAACCATAAACACACACACTCACTGGAGCTCTGGGGCAGGTTGCTGAAGAAGCCCCTGAGGCGAGTGGCAAGCCACTCCATGCTCTCCTGCAGGTTAGCGAGAGCCTTCAGATCACTGACGTCCCTCAGAATCTCATTCTGAGGAATCAGCTTATCACCCAGATTCCCCGTCAAAACCTCCGACTCCTTGGCAAATGCTGCCCTGTGAGAGACAGAAGGAGAAATAATGAACATTTGTGTTTTAACGTGTGCTTTCCCTTACTCTCCTTCTCATAACTACAGCAGCAGCTGATGCTGAGCTTCACAGGCACATTCAGATGAATGATGCTCAAGCAAATCTATAAAGTCAGTATTTTCTTTGACCTCCTCCTCTACAGGTCTGTGATGAATGTGGGAGAAAAAAATCCACGCGGCTCATTTCTGAGCACTGTGAAATTCCTTACGATAAAATGCAGCGTCTATTGAACGGAAGACTTTTTAACAAGCTTTTATCACTCTGTATAGGATTGCCATACATGTGGCGTAATCCCTCTTTAGCTGATGAAACTGTCAGGGTCATTTATATGATAAAAGCCTCCCGCTCGCTGTCTGCGCTTAGCTTCAACAGGTCGGCTAGATTGGATTTTTCTGTCCCACATAACCAATTCATTTATTTATTGTACAATTGCAGGCCATGGCACATCCAAACCGACGGGAGAACACTTTGAGGGCAATTTTGATAAAAACGAAGGCCCCCCTCCCTCTCGTCCAATCACAGTTTTCCTCATACTTGTGTCTTCTTTAATTCAAGTGTGCACTTGAGAGGAAAAGGCAGAAAGGGAGGGAGATAGAGCGAGCAAGTGAATTGAAAACAGAATTGCGTGTGTGCTTGGGATGCTGGAATGTTCCGGCAGATAGTGTGATTGCCTGCAGTTGAATTTGTTCTTGTTCAAAGATGTCTACGGAGGCTATAAGGGCCAGATTTCATCCTCTGTAACACAGCACACAAGCAGAATACCAAAACGCTTTGTCTGTGTTTAACAGCTAAAAATAACCTTCATTTTCGACGAAGACAGAAAGCCCAAATGCAATGTGTTTATTGATCTCTTTACAGGACGTAGAGGCCTGTGGATCTGTGTTACACAGCAAATGTCCCACGGCGTCTCTGACTGTGCGTTAACCTGCTCGGATGTGAGCTGATAGGAGTTGTGTGAGTGTGTTTGTATATACTGTGTGCTCTGTGATGAATCTGTGTGGTGAGCTCACATTGGGGACATTGTGTATTTGTAGTATGTATGTGTGAATTAGCGTGTGCTCTCACCGTGTGAAGTCCTCTTCCTCTTCCCTCTTCTGTCGGAGCTGTCTGGGTTGGGTCATGCTGGCCCAGTTGGGCAGAGACTGCAGCAGGCGGCTGATATCTTCATCTTTAGCCCAGGACGCACTGATGGTCAGCTTCTCCTCGCACTGTACCATACCCCTACAACACACACACACACCACACAACAGTCTTAAAACCAGTTCAGGATTAAACTTTGGGAACATAGAAAATAATATAATATAATATAATATAATATATGAAGTGGCAAACAGGAAATAATTATATAAAATCTGAATATATATATATATATTAGTGCTGTCAAACGATTAATCATGATTAATCGTTTGACAGCACTAATATATATATATATATTAGTGCTGTCAAACGATTAATCATGATTAATCGTTTGACAGCACTAATATATATATATATATTAGTGCTGTCAAACGATTAATCATGATTAATCGTTTGACAGCACTAATATATATATATATATTAGTGCTGTCAAACGATTAATCATGATTAATCGTTTGACAGCACTAATATATATATATATATTAGTGCTGTCAAACGATTAATCATGATTAATCGTTTGACAGCACTAATACATATATATGTAAGTTGTAAATATATAAGTAAATCAGAACAAATTTTTATAAATCTGAATATATAAATGTAAATCAGAATATATAGCTGTAATTCTAAATATATAAGACTTACATCTACATATTGCAATTAAATATCAATATATTCAGAATTATAACTACATATTCACAATTTACATTTATATATTAAGAATTTTATCTTTAAATTCTGATTTACATTTTATTTCTATATGTTCACAATTTACATTTATACATTCAGATTTTATATAATTATTTCCTGCTTGGCACTTCATAAACATAACATAACATAACAACATAAATAAATGTTGCAAGCTAGATTTGAACCTGCATTGCCCATAATGTGCTAAACACTGGTCTGACACATTATTATTATACTTCTTCTGAGTAACATTTTAATTTTCAATAAAAACTTTTTTATATATTTTATATTTGTAATATATTTAATATTTATATTTGAAAATTTAAGTTAATTTAATTATAACCATTAAACATTTTTATATGTTTTATTGTTAATAAATGTTATATATATTTTATACTAAATTGTAAAATGTATACAAATATAAATAATCTAAATTTTCTAACTAATCTAAAAATCTAAATTATTATATTACATTATATTAGCTCCACAGTTCAATGTGACTGAAAGCGTGCTAAACACTGGCCTGACATGTTATATCATCTTCCTCAGATCATAAGTTAATGTACACTGCAATAGCTAAAAATACTATGAAAATTATTTTCACAAATTTAAATGTTCATTATCTAGTGTTTCGTTAAGTACTATATAATGATGTTGTTAATGACTTCTAAATGGAAGTTATCATAAAGTGTGATGAAACTCTGCGTAAGTAGCTAAAATAAGAACAAAGTCTATGATTGGCTCAGGAATTGGACAAGCTCCATTTCACTTCACGTCTCAAAAAGTGCCAAAATATGAAAATGAACCGTAAGTTCAGATAAATGTCTTCAGTATTACATAAGCGGGCCATTAACAGTGTGCACTGGATGACAGCTGAACACGGTTCTGCAGAAGAGTTTGGATGATACAGAGAGGCAGACGAGGGCGCGGATGAATGAACTGTTATTGACTGCGACGTGTAGATTGATTGAACAGATCATGTAGAACGTAATGCAGTGCGTTTCACTCATCTTATGGATGAGAAAGAGGGAGAGACAAAAAGAGAGACAGATTGGTAGCATGTGATTATTGCGCGAGGAAACGGCTGCTTCTGCACTTTCTACCCATGACTGAGCTCAGTTCAGACCCCTGCTGACTTACAC